CCCGACCCAAGGCCTTGTCCTTGGAATCCCACAGTGAGAAGAAGGCACTGGCCCTGGCTCTGCATCGGCGGAAGTCCCTCTGCTCGGCCCCCATCAGCATCCGGGCTCTACTCGTAGTTAGAAGGTAATAGGGTATAAGGTTAAAAGGTATAAGATATAAGTTAGATTTTTTCAAGCTGTAAGGTATAAGTTATAAGTTATAAAGTTATACAGTTATAAGCTCTAAGGAAACCCTATCATTTACTATAGGCCCCTATTATGATAATTATGATAACTCCAATCCTGGACCCTTATAGAGCCCTGAAGGGCTCTCTATTATGAGAGCTGAGATTAAGTTCCCTGAAGAACCCAGGCATCACCAAGAACCTTCGGGTCTGCCAGGGCCTTAGCCGCTTCTGCTGCTGGGGCTTTAGGGGTTTAGGGGTTAGGGGCTTGGGGCTTTAGAGGTTTAGGGGTCAGTGGCTTAGGGTTTGAGGAGTTTTAGGGCTTTAGGGCTTTAGGGGTTTAGGATTTGGTGTTGCACGGAGGTAACGACTGTCATGGTGCGATGATGGTGGCCTCCAGGGCCTACAGCTGTGAGATCCATCTTCGAGATCGATCGCGCTGGCACATCTTCAAAGACGGCGGCTGCAGCTGCGGTGGTCACTGGTAGAGCTAGGAACAGCTAGCAAGAACTACCAGACGCTGGTAAAAAATGCACCTTGGCAACTCGGAGGTGGAGGTCACGACTTGAGCCGAGACGTGAGACGATTCGGACCCGCGATGCTTTGACGGCATATCGCGGGGCTCACAGGAACTCCCTGCACTCTGCTCGATGGAGATCCCTGCTGCACTTGCTCGGCTTCCTTCTGTGGAGCCTCGTTGCTGGCGAAAGCTGCGCTCCGGAGGACAAGGTCTACATCGCCATCGATTGACGCTTCCAGGAGCGCCGTTTCACAGCATCTAATGGCCCGGCTTCGATTGACAGGAAGGCGCGAGACATACCTCTATGGCAATGACTTGCTCGCAAGTTCAGCATATCCGAGGCGCATACCGAGCATGGCCCCGGACCGAAAATGATCTATGCATCATGTCGCAAGGTGAGATTGTGTGCCAATGTCGTGTACACGATGTGCCCCCCCCGACGAAGTTGGCTCAGGGTTCTTCTTCACTCCAACATGGTCCAACATGTATGGTGACAGGAAAGATGCAACATGAATCAACTCTACATGTATCAGGTGCCTCATTTCTTGTGGCAAGAGGTTGGGGGTTGGCAGAGGTGGGCATAGGTTCGTGAATGTTTGCCATGCGCTGTGCGCTAAGCTGTCAGTGAGGCCTGGAAGGTTTGCAAATCAGCTCTCGGAATATGGCCGTCACAATGGACAAGTGCATATTCTTCCAAATCATCTCAGTCTTAGTATACAATAACCAAACGGCTAAATTGTGCAAAACCCCCCTAAAGCCGTACTCGCAAGCGCCCCCCCGTTTTGTTGTGTCCAAGGAAGGCAGCTTTGAAATGGCCGCGTGGGGAACCCGCTCTTTCAACCTCTCTCTGGCTCCCAGTTGAACGGATTCGAGGGTTTGGAAACCCTCAACCCCAAACCCCAAACCCTAAACCATAAACCCCGAAACCCTTGACAGTCGGCAGCAGCTGAGCGGTAACCAAAGGTTCCCTAGCCAAGGATGCTTAGGAAGGTCCAGCTATGGCTTCGAATAGGACGGCCCCAGCAGTCCTTCTAGAAAAGCCCTCCGGACCTTTTCCCCTCTCGAGCAATCGAGGCTGTGTAGTGTCCATGATTGCGTCACTGCACACAAGCTATTAGCTTGCATGTCCCGTGCCCTCTTCCAAACTTGTTTGTTCTTTTCTCTTCTCTCCATCTACCACAACTTCTAGAGGCTCCAGTCCGTCTTGTCGTCTCCGTCGGGCTGAGCGCATCTGCTCGTCCTCTACGATCCGCCAGCGGTGCTGCATCTGATAGTAGAGCTCGAGTTCACGTCCCCCTCCAGCTTTGGTGAGGCTGTTTGCTAGTTGTGCTTCTGAGTGCACCCACCGTATCAGTAGGTTGGTCGCTGATTGCGACTCCTTCAATCTCAGGAGCTCCAGGTCAGTGCGGCGTTCCGCACCTTTGATCACTATCACTTCTGTGTTGAGCTTGTCGTACACATTCCTGGAGTCTGTAACCAGGCATCCCACTGTTTCCTTGACCGCCTGGCGGCTGTCTCTCACGTCCTTGACGCCATTCTGCAGCTCGCTCCACTGGAAGCGGGCATAGTACAAGGCGTCTTCTCCGTTCACAGCCGCTAAGGCTTCTGCTGCTCCAGGTGATCGGCACACCCGATCCACTTTTGAAGAATGCCAGGCCATGGGGGATACATGTCCTATGGAGCCCTTGAGCATGGATTTCGGTCCTAGTCCCACGAAGATCCCCTGAGTGCTTCCGCCGTCAGGGCGGTTGCCGTTGCCTGCATCCACCCAGGCGTACATCGCCAGTTCCTCTCCCTCGGAGAAACCATGAATCAACAGTCTGTGCTCTTTGCGCTGCCTGACATTGGCAGTCAGTTGATTCGTCTTTATCACAGTCTCTACAGTGCTCGTCGAGACCTCAGAGAGCAGAAGAGAGACCTCGGCTGAAAGATGCGGCGCAGTTTGCTGTGCCAGCCAGCTCAAGCTGCCAAGAGCAGCTCTCAGCTGTCCCTTCTCTCTATCACTAGTCTGTGCCTTCCGTTCTCTTTTCCGACTGGCGTTCAGAGGAATTTCCCGAAGACCCTCCACGTACTGAGCCTGGCTCAAGGCGAACCCCCCCGGAACCTTCTCCACCTTCACCCCACATTGAATGAAGTTGTTCTTTTCCCAATCCCCCCATTGGAACCGTTCCCGGATTCTCTTGAGGATTTGCTGCCATTCCGGGTCGTGGTCACTACCTGCGAACAAGAAATCATCCACATGTCCTGAAATGATCCCTCTTAATTCCCCTTTAACCCTCCAGGTCCAAGTGCACGCATCACTCCAGGTCCTCTGGAGTCCCAAGCCTTCCAGGAACTCTGATACCGACCGGTACCACTCCAAGGGAGCGTCCACCAATCCGTAGCACGCCTTCTTCAGCTTAGTGATGCTTCCCCGGGGAACCTTCATAGCGTCGCAGATCTCATCACAAGGGATGCAATGTAGAAGGTCAGGATAGGGCCTGCTCTGCAAGAATGCTCCACTGACATCTCCTTTGAACACAGTCCATTGTCTGTTGGATGCTTGTTGCAATAACATCTGCCTGGACTGCCTGGACATAACGGGAGCTGTGGTACTTCGGTGCTCGTAGGAAGGGTCCTGGAAGCCTAAAAGCACTGCTCTGGCTTTTGCCTTTCGACTCCCGTCTTCACGATACTTCCAAGTAAGTATCCACCTCATGCTGATAGCACAATCTCTACTGGGCTTCTGATGATGAGGAATGCTTTCGAAGGCTTCAGAGGCTATAAAATTTTTCACCTCAACTGCTTTCGCAGCTGCAAATTCCTTCAATTCGTCCTCACTTAGAAAGCGTTCACGAACCTCGATAGCCTTCCGTTTCATGGCACCTACCATGTAGCAACCAAGATCCCGCACGGCATGGTTCCAATCCTGAGTTCTCTCAGGCATGTCTATCGCCACTTCCACACTAGCCCCTGTGTCCTGCCAGAAAGCCAGTTCCTCTGAATTCCAAGACTCTTCCCGAATCTGGCTCCACCAACACTCTCCGGACTCAGAGACTCTGCGGGGTCTCTGGCGTGAACTGGTTGCCGGTGTCCCTGCCTGATCAGGAAGCAGCTCCTCATCGGAATCCTCCACGGGAGGCCTCTGTGCGGGCCTCTTTCCCCGGAACCTGTGTCTGGCTGGTTGCTGTTCCTCCTCAGGTTCTTGGGCACGCCTCCATTCCATCTCTGATGGATGGTTGTCCGAAACATCCTCGTACTGATTACCCCCAATCTGTTCTGAAACCCTTGAGAAGCTCCAGGGAGTGGCGTCCTGGTCTGCCAGTGACTCCACTAGTTCCTCTCGTTGAGAGGCTCTCCTGAGCTGCTCCACGCAGCACTTGATGAGCTGCCTGCCTCGAACACACCAGATCGTAGCGCCTGGTTGTAGGGTTCCATCGGGATTCCTCTTGGTTTCCGTGGCTAAGATCCTCGCTGGGCCCATGAAGTATCCTCGCTTAGAGCTGGGACCTCGTCGGTTCTTTGCCGAGTCCTGTTGTCTCCAGTAGAAGACCAATTCCCCTGGCTGATAATCCATAACAGGCCTGCTACGGGAGTTAGCGGCTCTCTTAAGGCGTTGTTGGGCATTCCATTCGGCATGAGCCTTTTCAGCTTCAACCCTACGCTGAACAGATTGCTGAAACTCGGAGTTGGGATTCTCAACCAAGAGTTCAGGAGGAATGGCGGGGGTAGCAACGTCTATCCTTCCAGTCTCATCCGGTACTTGTCCCAGCACGTGTTGCACTGGGGAGAACCCCCGGATTAAGTCCCGTTGGTTGAAGGTCCGCACGGCAGTAGCTAAGGCCTCTCCTGCTGAGACAGTTTCCTCAGAAGCACAAACCTTTGACATGACGGTTTTAAGACCATGAACTGCCTGTTCACAAGCCCCAATCTTCCAGTGGGCCTCACCTGGAACCAAATCCAAGTAGATTCCATGACGGTGACAGTAGTCAGAAACCGCAACACTTCTGAAGTTACCTGCTGGATCCAGTCTCATGGTCCGGGGATTGCCAAAGATCTGAGCCCAACCCTCTCGCAAGTAGGCAATGCAGTCAGCTCCAGAAGGCTGTTGCTTCACTCCAGTGGATAAAATCTTGGCAATCCTGAATCGTGATCCCTCATCAAGAATAACCATGAACTGATGATGTTCACCCGTCCTGGGGTGTCGCCAATGTCCAATGTCCGCCGAAATGGTGTGGAACTTTGGAGGAAGGGGCTCCAACGATGCAACATGACGGGGAGTAATCTTCTTACGTTCTTCACAGATAGAACACTTAAACTCAGCCGCCAGTTTGAGGATCTCCGGCTTAGCATTCCTACGCTTGAGGGCTTCAAGAAGATGCTGAGTAGAACAATGTCCCGTGGCCGCATGCAACAAGTACAACTGTCTCTTCAGTCGCTCCTCTTCTTTCTTCCTCTCTGACTCAGTACTGCCTACCGCGTAGATACTATGTGCAATCCGATGTGGCCGAGGCGGAAGGGGGAACCCCGCAACGCTCAGTTTCTGAACTTCCTCTTGAGTCAAGTTGCCTAGGCCACGACTCGTATAAGCTGACACCGTCACCCGGTGCCCGGTCCAGGCTTCTGTTCCATGCCAGGCTTTCGGTGGGAATTCCACCACTTGGTGTCTGGTGTCATAGACTCGACCCCATACCACTTCCCCGTGAGGGGTCGTTCTAGAACTTAACGGAATGCTCGGATCACCTGAAGTCACAAGTCCTGGGCCTGAACCGTTTCCTGAACCCACAAGCCTCCCTGCTGGTAGTTGCTCACTCCTATGACCAAGTTGGGCTGATTGCTCTCGTTGTTCACATCTTTGTGCAGGGGCATGTTTTGGTTGACATTCACCACAACAGAGGTCCATCTGCGTCCGGGTTGTGCTTGATTGGAAACAAACCTGTTCAGGTACTTCACGCACTGAGGAAAGAGTTCGGTTCGCTTAGTCACTCC